TCTGTGAGTTCTGTGAGGCATTACAGCGAAATACAGAACCCTAAGACTGGGAAAATTACTGGGAGGAGGAGGAGGAGTTAATGTCTGAAATGATGGAGTGGCATGGTAGTTTGGACATTTGGGACATCTTGGACCTCCGCCTCATGGGGACTGGCCTCATGCTGATCTTTCTAAGAGAAATTGTTCAAGCAACAACACAGTACAAAACTCTATTCCCTGTCTCTATGCCAAATACCTAACCATAATCTGAGAATGTATTCGTTTCTACATAGTACAAATCTAACTGTATTCCCCTGACAAATATTTCAGCATGTATTATAGAATTTGATTCTTTAATGTTTGTATTTTTATCAGGTAACTGTCATTTGTGTGTGTGTTTGGGGAAGTGCCATATCACACGAGAGAGCTAATTCCTACATTAAGATGCTTTCACTTATTCATCAAACTTCACCAATAAGATCTCTCAGAACCTCTGAGAATATTCCCAATTCATGAAACACATCTAGAGAAGCCATGTAACTTCTACATTCTTAAAGACAGAACTTACTAAAACTTAAGAAAAGAAACAGTTTTAGAAGTAATAATTTCCTATTCTTTTTTGCCTTCTCTTTGATCATTCCCATTTTCATCATCTAGTCTTTAAAATTAAGATACTAATTATTAGTAATTAAGAAAACTATTTTAAGATTATCTTCAAACTATCCTCTGTTTATGAAGGTCAAATTTTAAAGATGGTAATGTTTCAATATAAATCAATTATCTTAAACATTTCTAAGAGAAAATAATTTTAGATAGATATACTTACACTTTATTAAAATTACAATCTACACATGAATCTTTTCTAGAGACGAGTGTGTGTGCACGCACGCACATGTGCATGCACATATATGTGTATGTGAAAGAAAGAGTGAAGTGTGGACATAAGCAGAAGAAAGTCTTAAAAAAACAATCAACACTCCAGAAGGTGCAATGAAATTTGAGAGAACAAATTTTGATTATTTAAGTTTAATCACTGCAACTCACCCTAGAATATTCTATCTAGTCATAATGCTTTTAAAAACAAAAGGCAATGAAATATTTTTTTCTTATCTGCACAATGTGCAGTGGGTTATTACTAAAGGGGCAGGGAGGTGGCATCTTCTGACTTCCTCTAACTTCAAAACAGGAAGACAGAATCACCATCAGCAGCCCAAGGCCTGTTCTTATGAAGTTAGACATGCCACCACACTCTTACTTACCTTGACAAAAACCAACCTCCCACAGCATCTACCACCACTCTGCTGGGTTCAGTTATTTGCTGCAGTGACCACACAGAACTCACAGACTATGGGGTTTATTAGGGAAGCAAAAGGCTACAATTCAAGTTCAGGAACACGCTGAGTCTTTCTTAGCCAGCCATCTCTCTCAGCTGGCCATCACTCTCAGTCTCTCTCAGTAGCATGTCTCTCTCTCAGCAGTGTGTCTCTCTCACAGCTATCTCTCAGCAAGTGTATCTCTCTCAGCAGGTCATCAGAGAGATTCCTTCTGCCTCTAGCAGGGGTCATTTTAAGCCTGGCAGGGTGGCCAAAACCAACCAATCCCAAAATAAGAATTCTACACACCTGAGAGAGAGAAAGAGTGAACTCTCCCAGGAGATTTCTTTGTGCTGCCCCAGGCAGATGTCTTTGACAGGCAACTACTCAATTGCTCAGAGCAAAGGGGGAATTACGAAGACTGGTAGTATAGTGCCCAAGGTACCTGACTGCTAACCAGAAAGTTGATGGTTCAAACCCACCTGGCACTCCTTGGAAGGAAGGTTGGGCAATCTACTTCCGTAGTAATACTGCCTCAGAAACCCAAGGAGGGGTCATTATGAGTCGGGGCCAACTCCATGGCACACAACAACAACAACATGGCTGGAAAAGCCACACCATGTAATTTAGTACACTGCAGCTATGTGGTTTATACTCTAACATCAACATCTTCAAGCCTGGTTTCAACACTGTGATCATTTATATTTGGTGAATATGGCTTTCCCAAGAAGAAGAGAGAAAGGTCTGTGAAACTGTTGTTCATATTTCACTTTTTATAGCTTTGCAGGAACACAGCCAGCCAGCTAAGTGTTCATCCACTCAAGCCATAAACATTTTCTGAGCATCTACTAGATGCTGAGTCCTATTTTGGGTGTCAGGGACAAGACAGACAAAGTTTCTGTTATCATAAAACTTATTTTCTAGAGGAGAGAAAGCAGGCATTAAACAATAAAATAAACCAAATAAATGGGAGCTAAAAAAAAGCAGAGTGAAACAGTGATGACTGGGGCGTGGCAGCCCTAACTTTAGATAAAGAAGTGATGAAAGACCTTTCAGAGGAGGTGTCACATGTTGAGATAGGAATGCTAGAAAGGAAATGGCACTTCTGAAATAGAAATGACAGGAAGAAGTTGCCTCAAGAAATTATTTCCAAATACACTAAAAAATTATGTGCCTTTAAAATTCATTGACATTGGTGTATATTATATACATTTGTATTTGTGTGTACATGCTTTCTGTGTGTGTATCTGAACATCACAAAGGGATATTTCTTTTTTAAAATCAGTTATTAAAGTTTAATTAGGAGCTCTAGTAGCATAGTGCCTAAGGCACTTGACTGCTAACCAGAAGGCTGGCGGGTTCAAACCCACCTGCCACTCCTCGGAAGGAAGATGGGGTAATCTACTTCTGTAGTGATACTGCCTTGGAAACCCAAGGAGGGGTCGCTATGAGTCGGGTCCGACTCAATGGCACATAACAACAACAACAAAGTTTAATTATAATTAGTTCCTTTTGAATTAGTCTAGAATATGAATTACTACATTAAAATTAAAGGGATTCTACTATGAAATCCTTACATGAATTTGTACATTTTCTAATTATAACATCAAGAAAAAACAGCATCATAAGGATAAGGAAAATATATATTCCCCAAAATGGTATTTATAAATTATGGCATACAACGTAGAAAGAAAATTGAACCTACCTCTGCCTCAATTTCTGCTTGCCTCTTCTCCAAAAGTTTTGCCACGGCCATGGCCCTGTGCTTGCCTGACCGCTTACAGCTCACAGCCCATTCACACAGCAGCATCACCACTGCTTCATCATTGGGGGCAACCTAGTAACCAAGAGGAATGAGAACCAGCCATAGCAATGAACGTTCACCAGACGAGAGTCAGAAGTGGACAATGTCATTTCTAAAGCTCTAAAACTTTCTTCACATTATTTTATGCCAATCATTTTAGAAAGTGCTTCAAAATATTTTTTACCTGGAGAACAAGGAGTTAAAACTTTAGTTATAAGAAATCACTTACTCAGAGTGGCTGAATCTGTGACAATCTGAAGAGAACTGGAGTTTCACTGTAATATGCTTTCACATACAAGGACGGCATAACCTAGCCACATCTGTCCTTCGGAACTCAACTTCAAAACCAAACAAGAAGGGGAAAAGTCCGCTGAATAGCTGTTACAAAGCTAAAATACTTAAGTACTTCACAGTGGATAGATACCCTTACCCTTAGGCCGTCACTCAACTCATAATCTTAATTAAGCCTGGTCAACAAATGACTGAGTCCAACAACATATTAGAAGAAACTAGAAAGGAGGCTGGAATGCTTCTGAAAGATCTATTAGAAACATCATGCAGTTTGAAAATGACAGGCAAGTATCAAAAAGAAACAAAAATGAAAACAGAGTCCATAAGGGACAGTAGGCCTGGTCTGTGTGGCTCAATACTACTGTCAGCCATAGTTGCCATGGCCTAGAAACAAGCATGACAGACAAGAATAAATAATAAATAATAAATAAGCATGACAGAGAAGAAGGTAATGAAGGGTTATAGGGACAAAAGTGACCGGGGTCTGAAGTGGGGATGGAGTTCTAGGTCAGTAGGAGGATCGTCCTTCTACATCTCTGCCATTTTCTATATGTCAATCAGTAAAGCACCAATTGTAAGGTTTTATTATATGCCCATTTGTATACCAGAAAAACTTGATAACCAGAGTATCAGTATTTACAAACTATGTGAAAAATTCTAAACATTTTAGAGTCTATAAATTCAATTAAGATTATGAAAGTTATGAGCACGCTTACGGGAAGAACATGTATCTCCACAGGAGGTCTGTGGATTCTGAAAACCCATGAAAAGAATCCCTGATCAGCTTTAGAGACTATCAGTTGGGATAATGAAAATCAGTTTATTTCAAGATTGTTACTCATCCTATCTAAATTTAGTTATTTAAAAATATGTTCATTCAAAGTTCCCTGGAGTAGATATCACAAAGGGAGCTCTAGGTCTCCATTTAAAATGAGCCAAAGAACTCAATATATAAAGTTTAAACAGGACATTTAAAAAAAAAGCAAACTGAGACTATTGAACATAACCCACAGAAAAGTAAAAATATAGAAGTCAACCCAGTGAGCACCCAGAGCTCACATTTAGAATATCAAAAAAACAAGTCTTTCTAAAACCACTATTATCAGTTATGTAATCAATAATCTGCATAACAGAAACCTGCAAAAGTTTTTATTTCCCCTTGCATCTTCAAGATCAGATAAACATGAGTTACACAAGAATAAACAACTGATTCAAATTTTTAAAAATTTCTTTTTCCGCTAAAGATACTATTTCAATTTAATATCTAATTAAAAATGTTGAGACATACAGTATGTGTAGCAAAGCTTTGCATGTTATCAGTAACATCTCAACAACCGGATGGAAAAGCACATATTTCTAAAAATCAATTGAATGAACTACCACAAATGATATGTTAAAACAACCCACATATACGACAAACCCCTTCACAAACCAAAACAATCTCTACTGTGCCCACATCATCATTTTGGGAAAATATAAATACACACAAATGCATTACATGTAATACTCTGAAGACCAACAAACTAATACATACACATAATGTACATAATTCTGAAAAGGAAGGAAAGAGACGCACCCAATCTGAGAGCCTATGAAGAGCATGAAAGAGTGTCTGATGCTATTCAAGAGAAGAAGGCAAACTTCCTTCGCTCAAGCAGCTCACACTCCTCAAGATTAGACCCAAACAGCTAATACAGAGCAGCAAGCAGCATGCCAAGGGTGCAAGGAGATGCTTAAGGAGGCGGCAGGGAGGGTGTCAACTTTTTCACTGAGGAAGTACTCCTGAAACGTGCCTTCAGAAAAGTCAACAAAGTTAACAGTGGTTATAACCAGAGGGAAGGACTACAGAAGATTTTCATTTTAAGCCCACCAGCCACTCCTCGGAAGGAAGGTTGGGCAAGCCTACTTCCGTAGTGATACTGCCTCGGAAACCCAAGGAGGGGTCGCTATGAGTCGGAGCCGACTCCACGGCACATAACAACAACAACAACAAAAAAAGGCTATTGCTATTCTCAGGGAGGTAGCTTAGAGGGCAGGAATGCATAGGAAAGAAGAACACAAGGAAAAGGGAGGAAGTGGGAAGTGAGCTGTGACATTATGGGGATTGTAATCAATGCCATAAAATAAAATTGTGTAAGGAAAATGAATTTGCTCTGAAAACTTTCACCCAAATTACCATAAAATAAATAAAGAAATGAGCCTTGGAGGGAAGAAACAAAGATTTTTGATGAGTAGCGATGCATGTAAAGGAAAGAAGTATATCTAAATACATTGGAATTCAAATGTTACTTCACTTACATAACTACTGAGCCAGTCACTGCACTCAGCCTCCTGCACATATATGACCTCATTTCACCTCTACAGAATTGCTGGAAGTACAGCGCATCCCAACTGTGACCAGAAACAGAGATGTAGTAGTTAAAGTTGTATGTCAACTTGGTTGGGCCTGGTTGAGGGTCTGAGCAACTGGTGGTAGTTAGTCCCCATGAGGAGACTGGCAATCAACTCCATGGTGGGATCTACCACAAGCAGCTAAGTAGCTGCCTTTGGGATGTGGTCTGCTTCCTGTATTTAAGGAGAAGCCTTGGGAATGGTCTCTAGCTTATGGCACGCTTGAACCCTGCATGTAACCAGGTCATTGTTTAGCAGCCTGCCACGCTCTGCTGACCTTAGGACTTTCAATGGACTTTAATTAATGACCTGCCATGCCATTTGGTAACATCAGAACTGTGCCATTTTATTTGTCGACCTTAGGCTTGTTAGCCTCAGCAACCAGTAACTGCCTGAGTGAAGAGATGCCTCTAGGTTCAGTGGGCCGGGAGCAAGAGGCAAAGCTAGAGGCCAAGGTCGAGGAGCTTTCACACAGCCCCTAGAGCCTGGCACTTGGAACTCAACTTCTAGCCTCCTGAACTGTAAGAGAATAAACTCCCATTTGTTCAAGCCATCCCATTTGTGGTATATTCCTATCAGAGTGGCACTAGGTAACCAGAACAAGAGTCTCCATCCACACCTTCAGTCCAGAGTGCATCCCTCAATGAAACCTCTCTTTACTCTCTGCCTCTGGGCATCTCTACTTGGTGCCCCTCAAGCTCCTCAAACCAACTGATCCCAAAATGAACACATCCTCCCCCTTAGATCCACTTCTCATCCTGTGCACATTCTCTTAGAAGATGGCATCACTATTCAGGCCTTAATGTTGGGAGTCATCCCCTCACCCACCACTCTCCAACTACTTATCAAGACCATGGGAGTCCCACAAACACACCAAGCCCACGTCCATCAGGGGCCTCAGTGCTTGCTGTTCTTTCTCACTGGAATGCTCTTACCCATCCTGCACAGAGCTATCCCTCCTCTGCACTAAGGTCCCAGGGATTCATGCTAAGTGTGAAAATACCATTTTAAACTAAAAAAAAACAAATTACAATCCACATTTTAAAAACATCCATGGTACAATATCCTTGCCTATAGATTCAGAATATGACATGTGAGGCCCAGAGTTTTTACAAAATTCCAACTGGTTTAGAAAAAAAGTTAACAGCAAATTGAACAATCTCTGAGAAAACAAGTTTGAGGAGGGGAGACTTATAAAAGTAAAATTATTCAAGAATTTCAAATCAGTTGAGAAAGAAGATTTATCTTTTTCTTAGTAATCATAAAAAGATATACTGAGTTGCAAATTGAAGGAAATAATTTACTGGAGAAACTGGCTGAACCTTTAAAATGAAAAGAAAAGGGAGGCGGGGCAAGATGGCGGACTAGGCAGAAGGATTGCACAGACCCTCTTCAACAAAGAAAAGGGAAACCAATTAACACAGACACAGAAGAT